TCCTGAACACCTTTCAAAAGAGCGACTGACGCTCCGAGCGGATAGGATCTGCCCGAAGTTTTAAAAAGCAGAGGACTTTAGTAGTTCGAGCTGGAATCACTTCAGCGGTTTGCTCCCTTCGGCTCCCTCCCCGAGTGCTAGATGGGAGGAACAGCTGTCTGGTTCTCTCAAGCTTCCTCGGGATACAACATCAGCCCTATCCTACCCCCCAACCCCCACCCCCATTTGTACTGCCACTGCAGTGAGCGTTCGATTGCTCTCTTTTTAAAGCCACGTTTCTAGCCCTTATGGTTGACGCTGAAAGAAGCGATCGAGCTTTCCCCAAGCAGCTGAGCTAACTGCCGCCGTCTCAGGTTAGCGCTTGCACGCCTCCAGTCCTGCGTCTTGGGCAGGCTAGCCTGGTGATGTGCGAGAAGCCCGACTTACTCACGAGAAGACCTTCCAGATGGATGTCTTGCGGCTGGGTGGAGAATAAGCCGCTGGAGGTTCTCTGGGGCCTGATATCTAAAAGTGTGGTCGGTGGGACCCATTTCCAAGTGAAGCACCTCAGGGTGCTGGCACTAAGGCGACTTTTAGAAATCACATCTCAGCAGCCACCCTCCTGAGACAAAAGATTTGGGGTGGGCAAAGAAAGATCGGGAACTTCCTGCAAGGCTCTCAGCTGTTTTGCAATAGATTTCCGTTGCTTTCTGAGCCCCCATTTCTAAAGCGACAGCCCGAATCGCAGCTCTGAGCGGCGATCAGGGTTGAGATGGCCTTTCCCAATCGCTAGGTATGCAGACTACAACTCCCAGAATGCCCAGCCATTGCTCAAGCTGGCTGGAATTGTACTATATTTCCTCAGAGGCATGGAGGGTTATCTTCCGGAGATCCGGCATGCATGCGGGATTATCTCTGCTAGATACTCACTCTCCGCACTGTGGAGCGTGCTACATATTGCAAATGCTTCCTGCTCGTGGGGATTAGCAGCCAAGCGCCGATCTGAGTGTTTGAAGCCCTGTGAGTTTAGTTTAATTCAGGGACTGAAAAGACGTTCCGGGGCGAAGGATCCTTTCAAGATTAGTCTTCGGGCAGTGCGCTTTGGAGTTCTGGTCCGCAAAAAGGAGACTGTCCGTAGCGTGGCAGAGACCGGCAGGCCTCTCTTCGGGATACTAACCTCGGAGTGCCGGGAGAATAAGATTTCCGGGCCCCGAGCAGCCGATGGGGAAGGATCCTTCCCATTGAATGCAGCCAGGCAATGCCTCTTAAAGTTGGGGGCAGCGTAAGCTCATGGGGCGGCCGCGAAAAGGCGAGAACGGCACCAACTGAGTGATTCTCGGAAGGCAGAATTGGGGGCTGGGATTAAGAGATGGAAGGGGGAATTCCGGGCACGGGGGCGCCAATCGCTACGCCTTCTCGGCCGATGCCCACGGCTGGCATTTGGAGGAAGCCTGTTCAGTGGGTGAGTCTCAATCTAGGGCCTGCCGGCAGGAGGACCCGAAACCCCAACCGGGGATGGGCGTCGAAAAGG